GATACAAGAAATTGGAGTCAGAATGACCAGTGTCCCTGTGGGAGAAAAAGACGGTGTCTGTAGCAAGACTCTGGTTAGTTGATTTCTGTACAAGGCAAGCATGTGGAAAAGGCAAGGAAGTACTGCCGTGTGCTGCTTAATGACGAGGCTATGTTCTGAGAAATGAGTCCTTCGGCGATTTCTTTGTTGGCAGACATCACAGAGTGCACTTACACAAACCCAGCCTCCTGCACACCCAGGCTAAATATGGTGGTGCTGGAGTAAACAAACCTGTACAGCCAGTCGTAAAAAAGTACAGCACATACAATAGTATACAGTACCTAGTACGTCATAATAATAAAAGACTATGTTACTGGTTTATGTATTTACTATATTATACTTTTTATTGTTATTTTAGGGTGTCCTCTTTCTACAGAAAAAAAGTTTGCTGTAAAACAGTATGCTGTTAGGCTAGCAGCAATCTCACACATCTCGTATTTAATGTATATCTTGATTGCATCACATTCTCTTGTACTTGATTTAATCTCATGTTGTTTTTACAGTAACAGGTTATATAGGCTTGTAGCCTAGGAGCAACTAGACAATAGGAATTTTTCAGTTCCATTATAATCTTTTTGTTAATGTAATGGGGTGACATTGGTTAATGAAATTATACCGGTTTCAGGTACATAATTCTATAATACATCGCAGCTCCATTACGATCTTATGGAACCACCGGCTCTTTGTTGACAGGTCCCTCTTGACAGAAACATTGTTATGCGGCACATGACATGTAATAGGTAAGCCAACTACACACTACAGAAAGCAATGGAACAATCAGGGGTAAACAGGAAATTCAGGCTAAGATCTGACTCAGAAAAATAAGCTGCTTAAGAAGCCAAGAAGACTAACTAGTTTTCAAATGATTAGATTTCTTAAGAGTAAGAGAATGGGAAATGGAGAAAAAGACTAAGTATAAAAAAAGAAGGGAGGGGGAGTAAAGAACCATGAAGAGTGTTACCAAACAAGTTTATAAAATGGATTTAAATGCCAAAATATATATATATAAAGTCACTGTGAAAGCAAAAGCTAAGGTAAGATGGTACTTCAGGAAGGCAAGTCTCCTGAATGCCTGGTTATTAGCAAGATTTTAGAAGACTTAAAAGCCACTTCTGCTTCTCTCTCAATCCCCAACCTACCACACACCTATTGATTTCAAAAACAGGTTATCGAATCTTCCATGTAGGCCTCATCGATTGAATGGAAAATGTGGTGAGGGGAAAGTCCAGTGAGCTAAATCCACAGTACATTGAATAAGGGCTCATAATACACTTGACCTTGTCCTACTCAACATGATTGTCAATGACCTGGGACGTGAGCAGTAAACCAGGCTTGCCAGTAGTACAAAGTGGGAAAGTGACAGCTCATATCACTGATTGCATAACCATCCTCTCCCTACCACGTCCTCTTCTGACTAGATCAGCATATCCCAAAAGGTGTTCCACAAAACACTGATCTGGACATGAAAGTGAAAAATAGTTTCCCAAGTTCAAAACACTTGGGAAACTCTGCCTTTCCTTCCTTCTTAGTTAGCACATCCAAAGCTCTGAGAAACCCTGCAATAATCAAACCTCTGTTCTGATTTAACTTAACGTTTCCCTAACATTTGCTCTTAAAACACTTTCACTAGTAATCATTTACACTGATGGGCCCTAAACTATGTCAGAGTTTTTGTGCTAAAAAATGATTCAATCCCCTTGCGTTACTACTGCCTTAACACTCTTCCTCCATCATATTTAAAACACACACACACACACACACACACACACACACACGAAAAACTTGACACTTCCTGCCTTCTGTTTCCTCTCCACCCACCTGTTTCTCCATCACTGAAAATCTGGCTTCAGCCCCAGGGCTCTACTGAACATCTTCTCAGAATGTGATCAACTGTGCAGACAGCAGCACTAACGGCTTCTCTTGGGCCCTTCAATCTCTGCAGGATCACACGGCTTGAACCTCTCTCCCCTCAGCTTCCACCACATGCATGTCACCCATCTCTTTATGTGATCTATAGTTCTCTTCCTAACCTTTAAATTCTCAGATCAACTCTGACTTCTCCCCTGAGCAAACAACTCACTCATTGAACTATTGTCCCTTCATGGATCTACAATCCTAATCTCAAACCATTTCCTCGACTTCAGATTCACTGTTCCAATGGACTTCTCAACATGTTCACTTCAATTTTCCCCAAGGACTGTGCATTTAACATACTCCAAACAAACTCATCAATGTCTCCTCTTCTTGTCTTCCTGAATTTTGTTATGGAATCGCCATTCCCAGAGGGGGCAAGGGCCAGCAGAGTCAACTGCTTTTTCCTCAGCATGAACTCAGCACTATGAATATGCCTCCACTGAAGGGCCTATCACAGTGGACTCTAACCACTTAGCTCGCTACTTAGGCTTGAAGTTCTTCCAAACATGTGTGGCCCCTATGCTAACACACAGAAGAAATTCAACACACTTGGAAAATTGAACGAATCCTTTGAATCATACCCAATTCATGACTCAGTCTTCAGACTCTCATAACATAACCAAGTTCTCTTATACTGCAAGAAAAGTTCTCAATTTTTTCCACATAAAAGGCCACTATCCTTCATCAGACTCAAATGAAACCCCAAACCTAAACTACAACTATCTCCTGTCTGGGCAGTCAAGAAACCAGTTACCAGAGCAACCTTTTTAAAAAGGCCACTCTAACCATATCACTCATTGGTTCGGACACCTTCATGGTTTCCCTCTAGTTCCAGAATACAGTCCAAACCACTTAGCATGCTGTCACTGCCTTCCCTATCTGGATCTCTACTATCTTTCCATCTTTATCTACTACTACCCCTATGTTCTAATCCACACTACAGCCAGTGGGCCAAATTCAGCCCACTGCCCATTTTGTAAATAAAGTTTTTTTAAAAATATATTTTATTGATTTTTTACAGAGAGGAAGGGAGAGAGATAGAGAGCTAGAAACATCGATGAGAGAGAAACATCGACCAGCTGCCTCCTGCACACCCCCCACCGGGGATGTGCCCGCAACCAATGTACATGCCCCTGACCGGAATCGAACCCGGGACCTTTCAGCCCGCAGACCGACGCTCTACCACTGAGCCAAACCGGTTTCGGCCCATTTTGTAAATAAAGTTTTATTGGAACACAGATAATTGACATTTTGGGCCATATAATTCTTTTTTAAATTAAAAAAAAATGTTAACTGATTTGAGAAGAAGGGAGAGATACAGCTAGAAACATCAATGATAAGAATCGTTGATTGGCTGCCTTCTGTACCCCCCCTACTGGGTATCAAGCCTGCAACCCGCATATGTGCCTTGACCTGGAATTGAACAATGACCTCCTGGTTCAACCACTGAGCCACACTTGGCCGGGTGGACCACATAATTCTTTGTTGTGGGTGGGCTGTCCTGTGCACTGTGAAATATTTAATAGGATTTTTGGATTCTACCTACGAGATTCCAGTAGCACTTCCCCCTAGTAATAACCAAAAATGTCTTCAGACAGTGCCAGATATATCCTAGGGACAGAATTGCCCCAAATAAGAATCACTAGTCTGAAGGTTTCCAAGTACAAGCTGAGAGTATGATGTCGTTATTAATAAAATATAAACTATATAGTAATTATAGTACAGTGTCCAGATCAAGAGATGAGTCACACAGTATTCAGTGCTAGTTGACTTACACTTGTGAGATTATGCTCAATTATGAATTTTAAGAGGAATTTGGAAACTGGAATTCATACAATCAAAGGTGACCAAGCTGATGATAAGCAAGGGGAAAATGTTGTAAGAGGGATCTTTAAATAAATGGAGGTGTTTAGCCTGTACAGGTGAAAATGAAAATTAGTCCATGATCTTTAAATATCTGATGGGTTGTCCTTCGAAAGGGAGGTTTAACTTGCTAGTGTTCAGGAAGGCAAAACTAGAAAGAGTGGGCAATTGCAGGAAGGCTGATTTTGGCTCTATACAAGTAAAAGCTTTCTAACAATCAGAGCTGGCCAACACATCTATTAGGCTGAGCCGTGAAACACTGCTCTCCTCATTCTGGGAGTGGTCAAGCGGAGACCAGATAATCATTTTCCCTGATGTCAGAGATGCTATAGAGATTACTGCAGGGGGGTTAAGGAGGAGGACAAGATGGTCTCTCTAGGGCTCCTTCCAGCTCTGAGATCCTAAGGCTACCAAAGGAAAAGCCGTATGTCATGAATAATAAAATGCCCCATTCCCCCATTTCTTCATTACAAGAAAACAGAAACTATTTTGCCAAACAATTTACCATATGTCTATTTGGTAGACATTTGGTAACATTTTACATTTAGTCCCTGCACTGCAACTACCAGTGATCTATTTTTTCTAATTGACCTTCAATTAATTCTTACCTAATGTATATCACTACCTTTAAACCACATCTTTTATTCTAATAATCATCATCTGTACAATGTTTTACAGTTTCCAAAACATCGTAACATGCATTACTTTACTCACACTAGCTAAATAAAAGCATGAAAACTTATTTTAGATAATCTGCTCTCGTTTAGTGTCTCTTGCCTAAATTTTTTATGAAAGAAAGCTAGCCTTTATTATTCATTAAACATTCACTAAAAAAGCATATTCCAGCAAATACTAAAAAATCATTTATATATAACCCAGAGGTAAGCCAGATCTAGTCATCCACCATCAGCAATATAAATGTACTTCAGTGAAATTTCTATTTTAATTTATGATTTGGGGAGAAATATGAGAAACATTATAATTTCGTTTTCCCAAATTTCAACGTAGCCTTATAAGCCGAAAGTTCCAGTCACAACAAAACGTGAAACATGAATTATTGACAAGAAAGCCAATGCCGGTCCTGATAGCACAGACGCCTTTACTTCCCGCTAAAATTGCCACGGAGAACTGTGTAAGGACTTTCCCCAAAGCCAAACTGAACCCTCACCCACCACTTTACTTACTTCTTTCCGTTTTGTTTCTGGACATTCCGACTGCAGAGTGAGGGTTGCACCTTCGATATTTCTTGGCATGGGCGTGGATCCAGGGTTTATTGTTAAATGAATCTGATCTGGTGAGATAATGTGTTGCACGTAACCCTGGGACATTGCTTCATGATCTATCAGATGAAAGCCCTCTTCACCCCCTACAAGAAAAGGCAAGGGTTCTCCACACTGTCCATCATCATCTTCATCGTCCAAAGTGCCAGGGTCCTGCTCAATGAGAACAGTTGTCCTATCATAGACAGTTCCAGATGAGGAAGGCACCAGTCCGTTTTTATCCACAAACCTGAGCATCCTGTCATCAGGGGTCAGCTCATCTTCCTCGGCCTCAAAGTAGATGATGTTGTTATCTGGACTGTGTTCCCCCATGGTTCAATTGTGCTTCAGCCCAGTTGTGAGAAATGGAAAGGTAATGACTTGTCTGCAACAGAACAAAGCCAGGGTTAGAGCTACGCACCACAGCACTGTGGGACTCCTCAGCAACCACAGGGCTGTCTTCCTCTCATCTCAAGACCAGGTTGAAGTCAATGAAAGGTCATTTTCCCTGGGAATAATATTTTAAGTGTTACTTTGAAACCATCAAGTCATTTTCACAAGACCTTCCAAATGTGCTTTACTGCCAAACAATGTGAAGCTTGGTCAAAATACCTCAAAGGGGGTTAAGGGGCAAACTGATTCAAGTCTGAGTTGCTATAAATCTTAAAAGTAACGTTTTTACGTTTCACTCAAATATAACACCAAATCAGACCAGGAGGCAGTGCAGTCTATGGTGGAAGGTGCAGAGTTTTGAAGGCAGGGTCACGTACCTACAATTTCCATCTTTGCCACTTACTACTTGGGGAACTTTTCTGCGCCTCGTTTTCTTATGTAGAAGGTGAGACTGGTAATTTCTGTCCTCTCAAAGTTATGTGAGGTAAAAGAGATAATGTACATGAAAGCAATAGAAAAGGCAACAAGTGTGAATTCCTTCCTTCCTGGAACAGATGGTTCAGCTTCTGAGTAGAGGGGCTGATCCTTAATCAGACATACCTAATGAAAACAATTTTATCTCCTAAAACAATCTGGTTCCCAGCAGTATGCTGTCTGCAATGAGGGAATGAGAACTTATTTTTGTTTCCAGTGTCCCTAGCGCAGTACATGGACACCAGGGACACCAGGAGTCCAGATGTCCGCTAAATGAATGGAAGACATGCAGAATCTCTCTCTTGGGAAGATTTGCTCTCTTGGGAAAAATACCAAAGGTGAGGCTTTCCTGTTTTGGAAAAGTGATTTGCCTTCAAACACAGAGGTTCTACAAATATGAGTTTGGCAGGCAGAACAGAGAATTGAAAAAACAACCCCATCACTTTTAGTTTTCAGACTCGACTTGCACTTTATCTTTCTCTTCTGCTCTGGATTAGAGAGGGAACCTTTTACGTAGTGGGGCCGCTAGATAGGGATAGTTGCCAGAGACGGGCTGAGGGAAGAACCCGCCCCGACCCCTTGCTCTGGCTTACGCAACCCGGTAGATGCACATTTCGCTGCATCTGTGAGGAGAGAGAAGCGCACGGGGGCCCCACCGGGCTGCCCAGGCACCGTCGGCGGCAAACAGAGACCAACTGTCCGAAACAAACAAGACCAGGAGGTTGGAGGGTGGCAAACGAGGAGTACCAACAGCACCCCTGAGAGGAGGCTGGGAAAGAAACCTGCCTGGGAGAGCTCCCAGCCCGGGCTACACGGAAAACCTGAAGACAGGCTGGGGGTCTCCGTCCCAGGCGAAGAGGGGCAGGGTCCGGTCTCCATGGAGACAGGGGGCTGGATACCCATCCCCATGGAAACAGAGGCGGGGTGGGGTCTCTCTGGTGACTGGACTGAGGTCTCTACCGGGAAATGCTTCAGAGGGGAGCCTAAGTCCCGCGCCCCCAGGGAAGTCCCCAGCCCAGGCCGCGTCTAGTTCCGCCTTTTACCTCCGCGGCTCCCGGCAACGGCGGCAGCGACAGCTTCTCCTCTCCCCAGCGGCACCATGATTGCCCCCTCCTTCCCGAACGTCACTTCCGCTTCCGCTTCCCGGAGGAAGGAGGTGAGCCGGGTTTCGCCTCTCCCTGGCGCCGCTGATTGGTGTAGGCGAAGCTCGAGCCTCCAATTGGCGAGCGGGAGGGGCGGGGCGCCTGGTGACGTAGCCGGACGGGGAGCGGGTCCCGCGCGGGGAAGAGCCCGCCGTCCGTCGGGCGTCTCTCCCGCGGCACCTGACGCAGGGGAAGGGGGTTGAGCCCCTACACTAATCCAGAGCAGCTTCGGTCGAGCTTGTGCTGTCGTCTTCGCCATGGCAGCCACCACCGCCACAGAAAGGACCACAGTTAGGTATCCGAATTCCGGCCGGGACCCGCCGGGGGAGCCGGAAAGGCTGTGGCACTCCTGCCATTTCTCTCCATGGCCCCAGCTTCTCCTAATCACCCAGCGAAGTTAATAAACATAAGCCGGAGGGTCCGAGAGAAAGGAAGGTTGAACCTAAAGGGCGGACTAGGGAGTATCCCACGGCCAGCCGGAGCACGCCGCCGCCCCTTCCCCCCCGTGATCGCCCTCTCGGAAGCGCAGGTCGCTCACTCCGGCCCAGCGGTCTGTCCAACTTTTTCCCAGGCTGAGGACTGTGAGCTCTCATCCGGATTCGCGCCGGCGCCAACCAGCGCCACCTACTGACCATTCCCTTTCTTGACCGGTTCACATTGTCATGCTCCTGGCTGATAACTTCTAGTAAATCCCATTTTACACTGGCAAGTAGTGGTGTTTCAGGGCCCAAGAAGCAGTTTTGATTATGACGTCATTATGCTCTAGTAGTGTTTTCTAAATCCCTGGGAGATCTAGCTGTTAGAACATCCCAGCAGCCAACACCTGTTTTTCCCCCTAAGCTACTTGTATGGAATATTCAAAGTGCAACAACTCCCAGAGACTATCTCTTGCTTGAAAAATGTCACTTGTACCATCTCTTGCTTGAAAAATGTGACTAGTGACTGTACCCACCAGATGCCCCACAAATATCTCTTTGGCCCCTGACCAGCTGCCCAGTGCTTAAGCTGCAAAAGTCCAGCTGCAGAAAATTGCCATCGATTAAGAAATAAAAACAGCTGAAACCGGCCAAAACCGGTTTGGCTCAGTGGATAGAGCGTCGGCCTGCGGACTCAAGGGTCCCGGGTTCAATTCCGGTCAAGGGCATGTACCTTGGTTGTGGGCATATCCCCAGTAGGGGGTGTGCAAGAGGCAGCTGGTCGATAACTCTCATCGATGTTTCTAACTATCTCTCTCCCTTCCTCTCTTTACAAAATCAATAAAATACATTAAAAAAAACACACACACAAAAAAAAAAAACAACTGAAACCGGTTTGGCTCAGTGAATGGAGCATCGGCCTGCGGACTGAAGGGTCTCGGGTTCAATTCCAGTCAAGGGCATGTACATTGGTTGCAGGCACATCCCCAGTGGGGGGTGTGCAGGAGGCAGCTGGTCGATGTTTCTGGCTATCTCCTTTCCTCTCTGTAGAATATCCATAAAATATATTTTAAAAAAAAGAAAGAAAGAAATACAAACACAAACAACCACTGTTAAAAATACATTTATCATTAAAATATATTACACATATGAGAGAGGGGATGCATTGAATACAGTATGGAGAATTTGCTGGCCCACAAAGTCCCACTTGTTTAACCAGAACACCAATTTCTTCCGTATTTTCATTTTCAAGCCACTGTATTGACCTCAGTGGCTGAGTGGCCAGCCCCAGAGGTGTTGCACCACATCTGAGCAGGAAAAGGAATAGGTTTTGCATCTGCATATGCACATATCCTCAGAGTGCTAGAAGCATCTGGGGTGGCTATAGCCTATTTACCCTGCATTCTTGTCCAAATCAACTTCTTCTCCTTTCAGTTCCAAAGTGTGTTCAAATTTTTGGTCATGGGGAGCTCAACCCAGGTGACAGGGAAGGCACTGACTATGCCCTGGAGACAGGCTAAGTGAGCACAAGTACAGTTATTAAACATTAAAAAGTAAAATGTTTGACCGGTTGGGCGTTGTCCTGTGCACCAAAAGGTTTCTGGTTCCATCTCTGGCAAATGCCCGGGTTGGGGGACTCAATCTTTGGGGGGAGGAATCAAGCAAAAGGCAACCTATCAATGTTTCTCTCCCTCACCTTCTCCCTCTCTCTCTCTCTCTCTCTAAAAAATCAAAATTTTTAAAATCTTTTAAAAAAATAATCTATGTGTTAAATTAACTAAAGTTGAACATTGAATGTCAGTTTTATTGTGGTGGATTTCTCTCATGTCCTCACAACTCGCAGCAGCACTAAGTGTGATAGCCATGGTGGGGGAAATGGCCTGGGCTCAGGAACTGGCAGTTGCCACTCTCATTTCCAAGTGGCCTCACATCCTCCTAAGGCCACTCTCGAACGGAAACAGGTGAGACTGGTAATTGGATGCTTCAGATAAAATAGGAGGAGACAGAGACTCAGGGTGAGTTGCAGAGGAACTGGTGAATAAATTCTTGAGCCTTCTTCTCTGCCATTTCAAGCTTCTGTTGACCAGCTGGGTTTCGAAGCAATAAGCTGCCAAATATGCTAGCTGCATGAAAAACACAGAAAACAAATGATTCAGCAAAAGAAGGGACTAATTTTTTTTGTGTGTTGAGTTGGGAAGGGCCCCAAAAAAGCAAATTTTCTGCTTTAAGACCTATTTGAGGGTAAACTTTGCCCAGAGCTTGAGATTTTATTAGTGGACTTGGGACCTTCTACAACCACATTTCTTATAATGAATCTCTCAGTTTGCAGAGATGCTTTCCAGACACTTGGCTACTTACCTAGAATATTCTCATCCAAATGATTTTTTTTTGAATTTTTCAGCAACTCTCGCAAAAACGCCAGCAAGTAGTGGAAGACATTTTTGTGGAATGTGGGGAGAGTAGAAATGACCTGAAAGAGGCAGAATTGGGATTTGCCTTTTTATTCATTCAATTAAATAAGGGTCTGCTATATTCCAGGAATTGAGTACCTGATCCAAGTACATGAATAAGACTGTGCACAGAAAACCTTGACTACTTACCATTTGGCACAAGTACCAAAAGAACAGCACAGGTAAAAAGAGAGAGAAGCACAAATCGAGTATTATAATACATGGACTTAGAGATCAAACTTCTATGTGCTCTCCAAAGACTTAAGGAAATAGAAAACATAGGTTTTGAATATAAGACAAGATTGGACTTGCAGAGGTAAGGACTTGTGTAATTAGGACAAAAGTACAAAAAAGGACAAGAGAAGGAAAGCAGTGAGATAAGGAGAGAGAGCACTTTGTGAGAAGTCATTGTTGGCAGGAGCATAACTGAACAGGTGCTAAGCTGTAAGGGATCAGGCTAGAATTCAATGAGTATTCCATCTACCTGCACATGAGAATCAGTTAGGAAGCTTGTACAAAGTAGATTCCAAAAGAGATTATGATTCAGTGAATGTGGATTGAGGCTCTAGGACCTAGGATTATTAGCAGGTTTTCTAGATGATTCTGTTATATATGTGAGCTACTAGAGTAGATCACAGAAAGTATTAAATCTTTTTAAAAAAATCATTCACTGATGGGTGGGGAAAGGGCAGAGGGTGGGGTGGGAACCTGGTGGAGGGGAGCAACGGAGGCGGGGGAGAGGAACATCTGTAATAATATGAACAATAAAGATTTTTTTTTAGAAAATCATTCATTGGCAATAGAAAACCAAGTATGTTCTTTGGCCAACAGTAACACGATGAGAGCTTTAAAACACAACCTAATGGCAGTATTCAAAACAAATGAGCAGAGGGAGAGCCTGAATGCAGGACCTTGCACCAAGGAAAGTGGAAGGAGAACGGGAGAGAAAAGATGGGTGACAGATCAAGGGGAGTGGACATGTGAGAGGTGAGAAGTGGAGGAGTCAAAAATGACTCAGGTTTCGGGGTTGAGTCACTACAATTAAGTGTGATGCCATTAAAAGAAAAAGGGCAGGAGAGGAAAAACAGGCTTGGGAAGGAAAGATACAGGTGTGTTTCTAAGATATTGCATGGGAGGGGCTGTGACTGCTATTCCCTCAGGCCCCAGGGGGCCTGGGGCTGCAGCATGTGTATGCTGGTGCTCAGCGCTTCCCCTCACCTGTTTACTGGCTGTGTAGTTTCCAGAACACTCCAAGCAGTTATGGTAGGCGCTGTAGCAGATGACGGGCTCTGGCAGGCTCTCCAGGAAAAGCAGCAAGGCTTCGGCTACGGAGTGGTTGCTAAGGGCTTTTGGCCCATCGTTAAGGAACAGGTGATGCTGCTGCCCGTGGTTAGGAAAAGGCCCAGGACCGAGCACATGCCAGAAGTGCTACCTGCCTGCTAGCTTGAAGGAGCCAAGCTGTGTGTAAGCTTAGTTGGGCTCTTCTTAGTTCCTACTGTATTGGTTGCTTAACATTGTAAAGACTTCTCTATGCAAACTTTCAGTAAGAAAAACATGTTCGCTGAGGACACAATATCTGATTTTGAGCTTTAAAATGTTATTTCCTTTTTCTCACCTCTCTCATACATACACAGACATAAAGGATACAGAGGGTATCAAGGTTATCAATCATTCCAGTATCCAAACAGTCCCTGATTTGCTCAAATTCCAACCTTCGGCCTGGCTGTTGAAACAGATCCTCCTGCAAAAGAGAAGAGTGTCACAAAGCAATTATATCCTCAGAAAATTAGCAATGAGCCGAGACCGGTTTGGCTCAATGGATATAGCGTCGGCTTGGGGACTGAAGGGTCCCTGGTTCGATTCCGGTCAAGGGCACGTACCTTGGTTGCGGGCATATTCCCAGTAGGGGGTGTGCAAGAGGCAGCTGATCGATGACACTCTCTCATCGATGTTTCTAACTCTATCTCTCTCCCTTTCTCTCTGTACAAAATCAATAAAAATATATTTTAAAAAAAGAAAGAAAATCAGCAATGAATTCCTGACCTAGAAATACATATAATTTCCAGCAGAGAACAAAAAGAAGCATGTGGCGCGGCCTCTGAGTCACCCTGATAAGACAACCTGATTTAGGCTGGTGTGGCCAATTAATTCACCTTGTAGGCTTTCCCAGGCAGGCTCCCACAACAGGTCTTTAGAGTGAGTGATAAGACATCTTTTATAAAACTATGGGAAGGGCTGTGATATACAACAGGAAGATCCAATATAAGGGAAACTTAAAAGCAGCTATATTTCCTTTATGTTACAGAGGGGCTAACCAGAAAAAGAAAATTATGAAGAAATTATATCCTTTATAAGATGAAGAAAATGAAAATGTAGTTCAGTGCTTTATGAAAACAAGATTATGGCAATAAAGGTATTTCCAGCAGTCCCAGGGGACTTCACATTCCTTTGTTGTATAAAATGTCAATGCCATCTAACTGTGTTGATAATAACCATATTACATATATTGTTCAAAAGTTATACTTCTCTATAGAGAAGTTAGAAGAGCACGTTATGTAAGAAAGTGACTTCTCTCCGGCCGGCGTGGCTCGGTGATTGTGCATCCACCTGTGAACCAGGAGGTCACGGTTCGATTTCTAGTCAGGGCTTATGCCAGGGCTGCAGGCTTGATTCCTGACGGGGAGAGTGCAAGGGGAGCTAATCAATGACTCTCTCCCATTATTGATGTTTCTATTTCTCTCTCTGAAATCAATAATATATTGTTTTTAAAGGGGGAAAAAAAGAAAGAATGTGACTTCTCTAGCCAGATTCCTTGGGTTCAGATCCCAATCCTGCCCATTAATCAGCTTTGGGACCTTCACCAAGTTATTTACCTTTCTGAGAACTGAATGACTGAATGAGGCAATCCTATAAAACACTTAGAACATTTGGTACATTGTACACTCAATGTGAAAGAAAAAACGTGAAAAGAGAATATCATAAGAATATATGTTTCTCGGTCTCCCTGCGACCTATATAAATGAGTCAGTGAAACTGGCTAATCTGATCTCAATGACATTGCCCAAGTCACTGTAGAAATCAGGCCTCCTGACTCATAACCTGGGAATTCCTCCTGCTTCTATCTGGTTGTCTACAAGTTAGCACATCCCCTTCCCAAAAGCTGGGAGAGTTCCTGAAAAGGATACCTGGCTGAGCGCCTGAGAGAGCTCCAGGTGGCTTTCTACATGGGCGGCCCAGGCCAGGGGAGGGAACAGGCAGTCCTGTGCAAGCCTGCTTCCCTTGGGGGTAACCAAGTGCTCCCGGTAACATCACGATCCCCCCAAGGGTGTGAAACAAGAACCTATTTATCTGTCATTCACTCCCTGAGGGAAGAACAGCTTTCCACAGGTTCTCGGGATTAAAAGCTGCTTACACCAAACACTGGGGCTGATGCTCTTTCTCAGGGCAGCCTGGCCTCCATCAGGGCTCACTATGGAAGCACCCACCTCCTGGGCAGCATATCGGTGCAGGAAGTCAACCATCATCCAGAGCTCTTTGGGGATTTCCATGGGGTTCTCCAGCTGGCTGCCATCATCTTCATTCCAGAGTGGCATCAGAGTCTGTAAAAAGAAAATAAAAAGACTCAGCAGCCCCACCCAGAGAACTTACTGGCTTAGGAGAACACAGGGTGTGGAGACAGCAAACCCATGGGAGAAAGGGAACATTTCAATGCTCTTAAGCAAGCATTCCACAGTCGGAAATGAAATCAGGTGGCACAAAGTACAAAGGTGATTTTTTAGAATTAGGAATACATTACAGTAAGAAGTGTCCATGAATTGTGTAACAATATGCATCAACGACTTAGGAAAAATCCTGCCTATAGCATTTCACTGTCAGAGCTAGAAAGCCACTGTGGTCCAGGGAAACAGGACACAGACTTGAGAGTCCAAAAACCCGGGTGCAAGATCCAGGTCCATTGCTAACTTGCCATGTGACCCGTGACAAATCAATCTCCTTATGAAGCCTCAGTTTTCATCTGTATAATGGAGAGGATGGTGTTCAAGAGTACCTAGATTTAAAAATGCATGGGTGAAAAAAATAAAAATAAAAAAAATAAAAAAATAAAAAAATGCATGGGTGAAAAAAAATGCATGGGTGGAGAAACAATTGTAATAATCTGAACAATAAAGATTAAATTTAAAAAAAAAGCATGGGTGGGAGGAGCATATGTTTTACTATAAATCTGCTCCACACTAGTTGCCTTGTTTTAATATAAGAATTGTCTCCATAGGGAACCTCTGAGGTCTCAGAAAATTTAGTTTTGGATGATACATGATCAAACGATGATTAAAAATAAGAGAAAAAAAAGTAAATAGAAAATAAGAAGATGAACATGGGCCAGGGAACCTTCATTATCATCGTATCCATAGCTGAGTTTATCTAATGCACTGCGTATGAAAGACTGAAAAACATGGCCACAGCGTTTTGTAGCTTTTTCTATCAAGTGGTAGAGTCTCTTTCCGCCCTTGGAATCTGGGCTGGCTTCACAATTTGCCACCATCTGATTGCTACTGCACAGATGAGCCTAGGCAAGATCAGCGGAAGAGGTAAACTGGAAACAGGAGGAGCAATAATTTGGATAATTTCAACCATTAAGAGTTCAGGGTGGTTTTGTTACACAGCAATACTGTGCATAACTGATACAATAAGCCAGCTCTAGGGAGGCTGAAGAATTCTCAGGTCCCTGGGAATAGCCTGTTTGACAGATAATGGCTGCTACACAGTGTTAGATGTTTCCTTGGCCCATAACTCACCAGCTCTCTCACAGTTTCAAGCGGCAGGTCAGAGATCGGCTCCCTCATGTAGCACAGTGTATGAATGGGAGATCCGAAACAGCTGGGCACGTAGTTCCCAGACACAGACAAAAAGTAATCCTTTCCCCTCTCCAAGTGCAAAACAAGAATGTCCTCAATTTTGTCTTCACCAGAGTTGAGCTTTGTAGCCATGGTCTTACTTACAAATATCTCCAAGTCAATCTCAACGGCCGAATCTGAAGAAAAATTTAAAAAGTAATGTTGGCTGGTGGAAGGTCAAGAGAAAGGGTGGGGGTGAGAGAGGATAGAAAAGGAAGAGAGTCAAGCAGGCCTAAAGGGTTAAGGAAGGGAAATAAGAGCCAACCAAGTATTTATGTGCTCATCACTCAGGAGACACACGAACAGAATTGATAGTCCAAGTGGGAATATGAAAACAACAAATAAAAACATGTGAATAGGCAACTACTGTGAAATTTAAGTTCTAAGTAGCAAAGCTTAAACCAATTACTAATCACTAAGAAGGCATGGATCAAAGAGCTTACCCTGAGCAAGGTCAGATAAAGATACCTGATCCAGTAGAAAATATAATAAAACTATCACCCTTTGAATTGTCCACAAAACAGGCTTAATCCCTCTGCCACATAGCACAACATAGAGTGCAAAGGAGAAATTAGGGGAGAGATTTGCATGGTACATTCCAGAGCCAGATATAATTTTGGGGTTATCACCCCATTATCTTTCCCTACAAGAGCAACTGGGAGTTGAGGCAGACAATAAAAATGATGCTTTTTGTTTGTTGTTGTGCTCACCCAAGAATATGTTTTTATTGATGAGAGAGAGAAAGAGAAACATCCATTGGTTGCCCCCCCATACACACATCAACCAGGAAACAAACCTGCAACCTTTTGGTGTATAGGACAACGCTTCAACCAACTGAACCACTGGCAAAGGTTAAAAATGGTTAACAGCCCTTGCTGGTTTGGCTCAGCTTGCGAACTGAATGGTCTCAGGTTTGATTCCAGACAGGGGCACATGCCTGGGTTGCAGGCTTGATCCCCAGTGTGGGGTATGCAGGAGGCAGCCAATCAATGATTCTCTCTCATCATTGATGTTTCTATCCGTTCCTCTCCAAAATCAATAAAATGTCTTTTACAAAATGGTTAACAGCAGCAGCTGCTTCACAGCAATCTTATGTTTTCTCTTTCTGTGAAATTATGGAACAAATACATGATTGAGAATGCTTCTGAAGCTGAACTCACGCTCCTAACTATTTTATATTTTATATTTTATTTGTAGATGATTCATTCATAGAACTTTTTTTTTTTTGCACACCTCCCACCAGGGATGTACCACAACCAACGTACATGCCCCTGACCGGAATCGAACCTGGGACCTTTCAGTCCGCAGACCGACGCTCTACCATGAGCCAAACCGGTTTTGGCCATTCATAGGACTTTTTAAAAGTTCAAAAAGACAACAAAACACTCAAACAAAAAGCTTATTACAGAAAAATGAGCAAAGATAGGGGAGAGTGTACCCCAAATCAGTAACCAGGGACCTGGAACAGGCCTTACCTGGCAGGAGGAACCCTTTGCTGGGCTTGGCATTCAGCCACGGCTTACAGTAAGACTCTTCATCAGGCTTGTTGATGAATTCAAACTGACAGGGTACTTGTCCATTATGAATTGTAAAGGATTCCACTTGCAATTGCATGTACTTCACATTCTGAAAACAGAACTGGGAACAAGCCCGAAACCCATCAGACCAATGTCCTCTTCTCGGCAACCTGTCCAGACACCCAACTGGGCACTTCTTACCCTTTCTGGAAAGAAAATGAAGAACCAGCCCTAGCTGGTTTGACTCAGTGGATAGAGAGTTGGACTGAAGGGTCAGAGGTCAATTCTAGTCAAGAACACATGCCAGGGTTATGGACTCCATCCCCAGTATAGGGGTTGCAGGAGGCAGCCAATCAATGAGTCTCTCACATCATTGATGTTTCTCTCCCTTCCTCTAAAAAAAAAAAAAAAAAGAAGAAAAAGAAAGAAAAGAAAGAAGGACTACTTCTTTCAAATCATGTTTCTTCTCTACGTTACCTAGGAGGCCACAGCTACTGCTAAAGACCAATTGTCTGTGTTTAACCCAAAAATCAAAAAACTCAAAGAAAGCATGTTGTTTTATAAATAAATTTCCTGAAGGAACCAACGTATCTTCTACACCCAAACAAACTCAAGACCAAACTTATCTTTCCAAGTGGCTGGACATTTAAGGTATTAAAAGTACTCTCGCCGGGACCGGTTTGGCTCAATGGATAGAGCGTCGGCTTGGGGACTGAAAGGTCCCGGGTTCGATTCCGGTCAAGGGCATGTACCCTGGTTGCGGGCATATCCCCAGTGGGGGGTGTGCAAGAGGTAGCTGATTGATGACTCTCTCTCATCGATGTTTCTGACTCTCTATCTCTCTCCCTTCCTCTCTGTACAAAATCAATAAAATACCTTTAAAAAAATAAATAAATAAAAAAATAAAAGTACTCTCACCATAAATACCCATTTGACTGACCTCTTGGTATTGTTAATTCTGAATGATCTATGCTTTGGCTCTTTCATGAAAAATCTTTAACCCTAACCTGACTTCTCCCACTGACCACTGCTTTTCTTTTCTTTTTTAAATATATTTTATTGATTTTTTACAAAGAGGAAGGGAGAGGGAGAGAGAGTTAGAAACATCAATCAGCTGCCTCCTGCACACCACCCACTGGGGATGTGCCACAACCAAGGTACACGCCCCTGACCAGAATTGAACCCGGGACCCTTGACTCTGCAGGCTGACGTCCTATCCACTGAGTCAAACCAGCCAGAGCCCACTGCTTTTCTCTACTGCCTTCCCTAACGTTAACTCAAGCATACCCTACTGTAGGAAGACAAACCCAATACAAGAATACACACCAGTTATATTAAAATTTACAAAAACAAAACACATTTTGGATCACCTTTGCCATTATTTAACTCACAGATGGCTCATGTGTAGGTGAAATCTATGAGCCACAAATGGTTAAAGGCTTCTGGTTTAGATCAGGAGATGAACATGGTATAAATGAACAACCCCTTTCTTCTCAGCTAGCATCAGCAGCCTCACTTTATCTAGAAGCAGCCTATTAAGAAAGACTAGAGTTCAGTAGTCTGATGGGTTCCTCCTGGGATTCTGAGCCCTCAATAGATGAAATTTAAGCTCTATGAATAGAAGATGCTGATATTCTTTCTTGTTTTGTTTTGTTAATCCTCACCCAAGGATATTTTTCCATTGATTTTTAGAGAGTGAAAAGGAGGGGGAGAGACAGAGAGAGAAGCATCTCTGTGAAAGAGACACATTGAGCTCTAACCAGTTTGGCTCAGTGGATAGAGTGTCAGCCTGCGGACTCAAGGGTCTCAGGTTCAATTCCAGTCAAGAGCATGTACTTTGGTTGTGGGCACATCCCCAGGAGGAGGTGTGCGGGAGGCAGCTGATCGATGTTTCTAACTCTCTATCCTTCTCCCTTCCTCTCTGTAAAAAAAATCAATAAAATATATTTTAAAAAGAAAGAGATACATTGATTGGTTTCAAGGTCTGAGGCACATTCCCTTGACCAGAATCAAATTTGGGACCCTTCAACCTGGGCCCACCCTTCAGTTTGTAGGCCAACACTATCCATGGAGCCTAACCATCCAGGGCTGATGCTGATATTCTTTTTCTTTTTATAATATACATCTTTTCATTGATTTCAGAGAGAAAGGGAGAGGGGAAAAAATATAGAAATATCAATGATGAGAGAGAATCATTGATTGGCTGCCTCCTGCACACCCCCTACTGGGGATCGAGCCCACAACCCAAGCATGCACCCCCGGCTACAATTGAACCCGGGAAGCCAATGCTCTTATCTACTGAGCTAAACCAGCTGGGGCAATGCTGATATTCTTAACAGTCCTTCCTACCTCCAGCCGGGAGAGCGACACAGAAGGAATGTTGGCATTTTCCATCTTGTCCAGGGATCGAACAATCTCCTCCAGAGCCTTCCGGTAAAGCTCTTCATCTTTAAGCCTCACCTGGAAGGAAACATCAGAGGCTGAGTGCCACAGCTCCTGCCCATTTCCTCTTTTTCAGTTTACAGGACATTCCTGGTGGAAAGTGGAGACTAAGTAGAGTTAATTAATTAACAAAAATCCCAATGAACAACAGACCTAGAAGGGCTGCCCAGAGGATGTTAGCAGAAAGAGGATGCGAAGGGGAAGCCTGGTGGGCAGTTCTACCAGGCCTCAGGACCAGGGCGGAGGGATGCTCAGTGCTCAGCTCTACTTGGCTTGCTGCTGCCAAAAGGCCTACAGTAAGAAACCTCTCTAGAGCTTTGACTTAAAGCAGCATTTCTTTAAAAAGCATTTCTTAAGCTTTTTTTTTTTTAAACTAACTGCTCCAACAGACAGGATTTTGTCAGATTTTCCCTTCTGTATTTTGAATTATAAACACAATTTTGTCACTTTCTAGCAATAAAACTGTAATTATAATATTCATTAGGCTTTTTTTTTTTTTCAAATCACCCACACCTTCATGGATTCCAATATGCTTCTACCTGGACCCTTGAGAACTGATAAACACTGAAGTCACTGAAAAAGAGATACAAATAGGGAATAAATTAAAAGATGTCCAACTTCATTAGTAATCAGGGAAATGTAATCTAAAATAATGAAAAATATTTTTCTTTTTGCTCACTGTGTTGGTAGAAATTCAAAAGATTGCTAAAACCCACTATTAGCCAGGGTGTGAAAAAATAAGGTCATACATGGTTGGCAGAAGTGTAAAATGGTAAAAACTGCTAGGAGGATAATTTAGAAAAATTTAATAAATTTAAAATACATTTTTCATTGAACCCCTAGAAATTTCATTCTATAAAAATACACTGGTACACAAAGATATATGAAGGGTGGTTACCATAGCACTGTTTACAATAGCAAAACTTTGGAAACAAATGATCAACATATACACTGTGGCGTATTTTGAAACCTTTAAAAATAATGAGGGAGCTCTGCCTTTAGTGTCATCTACAGTCCCCTGAGACACAGTCAGTGGGGAAAAAATATGTTCTCAGGACAATGTGCATAATATGATCTCTTTTACAAAAAAGGAAAACCTTCCTCTAGAAACATTCCCTGTGTCACACAGAGAATGCTGACACACATTTGTAAATGCATGGAGAAAGGTCTGCAGAGATTCAGTCCAAAAAGAGAAACTTCCATGAAGGTAGAAACATACAGTGGTAGTATGTCAAAGCAATTATGAATCAAATTGAAATTAAAACTATTTTTAAAGGAGCTTCATCATAATCAAGGGAAGAGGACACCAGAACAAAAAAAGGAGTCTTGGTTGTGAGAGCCTGTTATCCTCCACGGAATGGTGACAACGGACGCAGCTGCCCACCTACCCCAATGTCAAACTCGGAGCTGACAGGCTTGTGGTCACTGGTCTTCAGGGCCATGTGGCTCTGGTAACTCAGCTGAGTAATGTTCTTCCCTTTCCAGAGGATCCGGTCACACCAGGCAGGAGCGCGACACTTCTCACTGAAATGCAAAGTCCACCCTGAGGCCTCACAGGCACAGCAGTACCCACTGCCTGGCTAGCCTCTGGCTCAGCTGGGGGATGACTGGGCAGAGCCGTCCAGTCCTCAAGGCCCAGTGATCTGAGAGGTCAGGAGCGATTTGGGCTCACAGAGACATAACATGTATCCTGTGTATCATCCAAAACACCGTTCAGAACGATTCCCTGCTCTCTGGCCTCCGATGGGGATGAGGCGAGAGTCAAAAGGCAATCTGACAGTAAGTACTCTGTGGTTCTTAAAAGATGGTGGTTAAAACAGGCCTTGAATTCCTACTGCCTGGATTCTAATCCTGGCTCTCCACTTGCCTGCTTGGGAGGCTCTTTCATTTTTTAATGCCTCAGTCCCCTGATCCATAAAACGAGAATAACAAAATCAGCCGAGACCGGTTTGGCTCAATGGATAGAGCGTCGACTTGGGGGCTGAAGGGTCCCGGGTTCGATTCCGGTCAAGGGCATGTACCTTGGTTGCGGGCATATCCCCAGTAGGGGGTGTGCAAGAGGCAGCTGATCGATGATTCTCTCTCATCGATGTTTCTAACTATCTCTCTCCCTTCCTCTCTGTACAAAAATCAATAAAGTATATTAAAAAAAAAAAAAAAAAGAAAAGAAAATAACAAAATCATACCTATTTGGACAGGTTGTTGAGAAGATTAAATGAGATAATGCAGGTAAAATGCATTGAATAGGGCATGGCATACCATAGGCACTAATAACATATATGAACTACTATGCAGTGACCACGTACAACCTAAGCTAGTTGGAATCATCTTATCCCCCTGAGAATAACTTAAAAGTAAATCAGTCACAAGAATGATTAGGGAACAAAGGCTAAAGCAGTCAAATAGAAAACAAGGAGGAAGGCAGGCTGCTTAATGAGCAGATACTGAGAGAAAATGTTTAACCAGAATACAAAATACGGAGAAAAGACACAGTAAACCTATCTTCCCCTTTAGGCCCACGAGGGCAAGTGATTCCCTAAATTTCTGGGCTTCTGTTTGCTTGGCCTCCTGAAGCGACCTCTGACCTACCTGGTATCCCACTCGTCGGAGCCAGTATCATATTTATAGGTAGGCTGGAACGTGAGTTCACCTTCTGTGAAGCCTTCAAAGACTGCCTTTGCAGCCATCTGAGCTTTCAGCTATACAAAAGGATGGAAGAAAAAAAAAAATCTCAGAATAAAAAGGTCAAGCTTTGAATTAGTAGATAGCAATTTTAAATCTGAACCCTAATTCAAAGGGCAAGACCCATGAAAAAGCTAGTCTGGAAAGTTATTTTTATTTGTTTCACTTCCCCCTTTTAATTGACTTTATTGGGGTGACACTGATTAACAAAATTACATAGGTTTCAGGTGCACAATTCCACACATATCAGCTGTAAGATCTTGAATTAACTAACTTCCAGGAAGAGGAGCAAGCAAGCTAAAATTCCCTTTGGCTGTTACACAGTTTTTAAGGTGCTTTTATAGGGAGTTACTGCATCCAGGGAGCCTGAGTACCATCTTACTGACAGGTCCCTAGGAGGTCTAGGTACCAACAGACAGAGCTTTTCCTTTTTAGGTATCAAACGCTTCGTCTGTGTAGCAGAGTTGTTTTAATTAATTACACTGAGAGACAAAACTGCCTATAAAAGAGTCTGGAAAGATACAGTCCAAAAAGCAAAGGGAAACTTCCATTATGTAGAAACATATAGTAGAAATATACCAAGCCAATTATAGTTTAAATTTAAAAATCACTTAAAACACTTTCAAAAGAAGCTTGTCCAGTTAGTGTACTGAAGGAAGCTGTGTGCCTTGATTTCTCTAACGGTAAATTCTGGACTTAGAATCTGCTTCACAGGATTGTTGGAAAATGAACTGTTAACTTAGAACAGTGCTGGCACATTATAATAGCTAGCATCCTTCTTAGTGCACTAATTCTGGGAGCTCCTTCCAGGTCACACTCTCGGCAAGAGATAAAAACACAGGTGCGCTGCCTCTCCGCCCCCTGCCCCAAGCTGGGTGCTAAGTAAACTGGGGAGGAACTGTCAGCTCCAATGCAGAGACAATAGTTGCCAAATTCTCACAAAAGCCAATTCCTAGAATAAACTAATAAAGAAAAAGCAATAGAAAATAAAACATCTAGGTATTAAGGTAAGCTGATGCTTCTTGAATGAGCATATGTTGACCTTAAAACCATCTGAAAAGCAGAGAACACACAAAACAGCTACTATTACTTGAGGAAAGACTGGAAAAGGCAAGAGGAGATGAGAATTAAACTCCCAGGGAAATTAGAATGCCTCAGTCCAGAATACAGAGGCAAGAAACAGACAGTTTAGAACAGAATAGAATAGAAAAGAATAGACTGGATTAAGGTTGAAATGGGTATTAAAGAGAATAAAAGTAATTTACCAAGGAAAACCGCTACAGAGAGAAAGATGGATTAATAAAGAGATTATTCCATAAAGAAAGATTTTTTTTTTTAAAGATATAAAGTTGATGGTTTTTTTCCTGCAATTGATCTGCACTAGGGAGAAAAAAATAACTGAAAAGTGTAGACTAATGAATACTAAGATTATTTACAAGGGGACATAGACTAGAAAGAAAAAGAGCTTTATCATTCTGAACAATTCTGACCACTGGAACCGCTTTTCAGTCTATTGAGGAGTAGCCTAAAGAAAGAGAGAAACTGACTGCTTTTGTCCTGTGAAATGGCTAATGCTTTGAGACAGAAATGGTGACCCAAACAACAGCAGGAGAAAAGCAGGTTATAGAACTATCATAATTCCCACCGAAAGTGAAGAAAGCAGGAAAAAGAGTTGTCATTCACATTGGACAAGTCTGGGGAGGAGAAAGAGAGGGGAACAGGAGACAAATTCAAAAGAATTAGAAAATCATTTTAAATAGCCACTTATTTATGAGAAGTCTGGTATCCCTAGTCCCAATTTGAATGAATGAATGAGCACACACAAGGCAGAGAGACAGAAAGAAAACAACTCCTGCTCCCAAGAGAAGAGGGACCAGGCACCTCAGGGACAAGCCAATGGGGAGACAACTATGGACGATGGAAATGCAGATGAAAGACATGGCTGGACATCAGCTGCTCAGGGAAACCTCCAGGCTGAGGAAGAAGAGGCTGGGAGTTGAAAAGCCAAGCTTTTCTGAGAGGGCACAGGTGGCCATCGGTACCTGGTCATAAGCATACAGGGTTTGAAAGTCCTTCTCTTCGATGAGCTTTTTCACTTTTTCCATATCCAACTCTTCTATCCTATAGTTGAGGTCCCCCAGCCACAAGATCACACTGCAAAGACAGAGCACAAAGGTCGCAGGCGTTAGTAGGGACTTTACCCATCTCATCACAGAAGGCCCCTGAGGCTCAGCCTGTTGGGAGCTGGGTGGGGAAATGATTCAGCCGCTCAGGAAATTTTTCTCTTGTCCTCTCATTTAATACCATGTCTACCAAGCTGCTTACACAATTATCTTGGTCCGAGTTCTCCTTGACTCCTTTATATTCTTGTATGGTTGGAAAGATAATCTAATAGGATCTAAAAGCAAGACAATAATTCACTTCCTTCTTGGGAAGAGGCAAAAAGATCAAGTTTGGGGAGTCATGCCAATCATCTAGGGACCCCAAACTAGATGATGCCATGATGTTGCCTCTGCCTCCACGCACACTCCAGTCCACAAAACACACCCTCAGCCTTTGTTTCTAGAGCTGAGTTACTCTGAAACAAAGCTCAACCTCTACAGTAGAATCTGGGTTTAACTACCACCATAGCATCATCGGTTGGCTCTTTTGGCAAGTGTGACAGGTGTTTTATGGCACCTGATGCTTTTGGGGGAAAATTAATGGAATGTTCCTCAATGACACTGCACATCCCATAAAGTCCGAGAGGCAACAGCCAAGTCACGTGAGAACCTGCACAGCAGTACACCCTCCCCCCAAATAAAAGCAGACAAACTGACATGCAAGTTGCAACCTCACAAACTAGGGTGCTGCAGGCTCAGCAGAACGGAAGACACACTCCCTGCTAGGTTCCCTGGAGAAGAAAAGCCATCCTGTCAGCTTCTAGGACACCAGTGAGCTCAAGACAGTTCCACCATGGCAGCAGGTAGGATGAGAGGCTGGACTCTGAACACTCCCTGGCAGACACCATGGCCCCAGCGGCTCTTCCTCTTTATAAAAAAAAAGTGACACAAGCTTCCAGTGTTACTTTCAAGTCAGAAATTCTAATATGCCTTGAATTTAGACACAGAGGAAGTTTTAGAGATAAACGATAAAAAGATAGACAAATAAAAAGATAGACAAAAATTAGCACAAAATGCTCCAAGCAGCTGCAACTACAGTTTTATAAAGTTGAGGTAGAAAAGACTAAATGAGGCCGGACCTAAGAGCCCGAGGCCTCATTTAGGGGTAAACTGTTTGGGCTTTACTCTAATGAGCATAGTCGTTCCTGGTTAGATTGTGTGATGGCTAATTTTACACATCGACCTGGCTGGGCCCTGGCATCCAGGTGTTTGGTTACACATTATTCTGGGTGTTTCTGTGAATATGTTCTTTGGATGAGATTTACGTTTAAATCAGCGGATTGTCAGCGAAGCAGATTGCCCTCCATAATGTGGTGGGCCTCCTCCAGTCAGCTGAAGGTCTGAACAAAATGAAGGAATGACCTTCCCCCAGCAAGAGGGAATCCAGCCAGCAGATGGCCTTTGGACTTGAAATGCAGCACTGCATCGGCTCTTCCTGGGTCTCCAGCCTGCTTGCCCACCTTGAACATTTTGGACATGCCAGCCTTCATAACTGTCATGAGCCAATTCTTTAAAAATAAATATCTTTCCGTATAAAAAGAAAAAGAAGACTAAATGAATTGGTTGCAGGCACATCCCCATGGGGGGTCTTCAGGAGGCGGCTGATCAATGTTTCTCTCTCATCGATGTTTCTAGCTCTCTATCCCTCTCCCTGCCTCTCTGTATAAAATCAATAAAACATATTAAAAAAAAAAAAAAAAAAAAAAAAAAAAAAGACTAAGTGAAGGCAGACCAATGCAGTCCTTCTCAAGTACATATGCCTCTGGGAAGAACAGACACCTAAAATCCTGAAACATACTTCAAAAGCCTGGCGTTGAGATGCTCGCTCTTTGGCTGCTTTCATGGTGGTGTTGTATCAAAGCCGACCCACATTAAAATAAGTTTTACACATTTGCCAGGGACACATGACTTGAGAAGAATTCTGGAGGTCTGCCAGATGGGAAATCAGGAAACTAAACCTTTCCAAGGGACATGATCCGTGTGTAACTGAGAGTTGGCTAGAGCCCCCACTCTGGCAGTCACCTCCCTAACAAAACACGGGGCACCGTGACCTGTGGGGTAGAAGTCCAGACTCACTCGTGCTTGCCGATGGTGAGAGGGGGAAGGCTCGGGTCAACCTGACAAAACTGCATCCGAGAGCAGATGTCTTTAAAGTCCTGGTTCCTCCTCTCGTACTCTTCTGTGTGGGCTGCCAGGTGCGAGTTCACGACGCAGATGCTGGTGGTGTGGAACTGGAACCTGATGGCCACTCCTCCTTTGTTGCCCTACGAAGAGGAGCCCAGAGAAATCCAGTTTTGTCGGCTGATTAATTACGTCAGTTGTTTAAACCCGCAAACTTTCAAAATGTGTTCTCTTAGCTAGTCTTCATAATGACCCTGTGAGGTAGTAAAGCAGTATTACTGTCTGCATTTTACAAGAAAACAAATTCAAGGAGGAAGAATGACTAGCCAGCCCGTGGCAAGCTGAATCCATGTTCCATGTCATCCCAGGTAAGCCACATGCTCTCCCTTCTCCACGGAGGCTGAGCTCCAGCAGTAGAATCTAAAAGCAGGACTTTAATGGCCTCAGGAAGAAGAGGAAATGGCAAATCTGCATCAGCATTCTTTCTTTTCCTCTGTGACCCAATATAGTTTCTGCAACCTATTTCATGGATTAAATGGGAGAATAAACTAGAGACTCTAGTGTGCAGTAAACATGAGGATCCGTGCTAGTTGGACAAATTAGCCAGCAATTCCCTTAAATACCATTTGTAAAGTGGTCTGCTCAGTCCAGTCCCGCTGAGGGCACAATTCATCGTCTAATACCAGCATCCTCCCTGGGAGACATGCTTCAAGGTATCATGAGAAGTGGGGATAAAACCTTAGGAATCAAGGCTCGTCCGTGTACCAAATATACCACCAAGGACTCACCATCCTCCCCATGATGCCCGTCCCCACGGTCTCAGCTTCCACGTCTGAGATGTGTGCTGCATGTTCCTGTTTGACATATAATAGCAGCATAATCCCAACCAGTCGGATGAATTTCACCTGGAAAACAGAGTCAAACATTCAAGCCAAAGCATTAAATAGAAGGCAGAAACAGAAATAAAGATCCCAGAGGAGAAGTGGTCTCAAAGCTGGCTGAAAGTATTCATGTATCTCCTCCACACGAGTACCTAGGGCAGTGGTCGGCAAACTCATTAGTCAATAGAGCCAAATATCAACAGTACAAGAACTGAAATTTCTTCTGAGGGCCAAATTTTTAAAACTTAAACTATATAGGTAGGTGCATTGTTATTAACTTACTTAGGGTACTCCTAAGCTGGCCTTTGCTAAAAACTCAAAAGGCCCAAGAGTCGCATGTGGCCTGCTGATGGTCGGCAAACCGCCATTCAGGAGCCACATGCGGCTCTTTTGAGTTTTTAGCAAAAGCCAGCTTAGGAGGACCCTAAGTAAGTTAATAACAATGCACCTACCTATATAATTTAAGTTTAAAAAATTTGGCTCTCAGAAGAAATTTCAACCGTGGTACTGTTGTTATTTGGCTCTGTTGACCAATGAGTTTGCCAACCAATAACCTAGGGTAATCAATCACCTGTTCTACTCGGCATACTACGTAACAACTTAGCCTACAAGTGCTAAGACCTGCATCTTGCCCGCCTACAGGTGCCTCTGGAACTGAAAATAGCAGGGTAATTAGGACTGGCTTGGGGAGAATGTGAGATACTGTCTTAGAATTTCCCTGCGTGGCAGTCTAACACCTGAAGGTCCCTGACTCCTCTCTTACCTTTGCATACTTGGCATCTGGATGAAGACTCTCTGATACAGCTTTAAACCACTCTTCCTCCTTCGGGGTGTCATGGAAGAAAAAGGCCTCCTTACTCAGATCAAGCTCCTGGAACCTAGTAGGAGAAGCAAGGAGAAAGTAGAGAAAGGTCATGTACAAGATGACACATCCAAAGATTGGTTTGGGTGCGTAAATCCTAGCTTCCTGGCTACCCTGCAGGACCCTTAAGAGAGAAAAAAACAACAACAACAACAAAAAAAAACACTCAGAGCCGAGGGTCAAAATGCTAAGGCACCTACCAGTGCTTTCACAGCCACAGAAAGGTCACATCGCACCTATACCACTTCCTCTTCATAACCAGCCTGTGAAGTGGTTGGAAGTATCCGCATTTTACATCTGAGATCACAAGTTCACACAAGCACCAAGCGGCAAAGGGGTTCAAACCTAGATCTCCATACATTCCAAGTTCTAGGCCTTTCCACTTTACCATACAGGCTTCTTTACTGACCCGTCCCCTTCAACAGTGCCCAGTGTAGTGGCAGGAGGATGGTAAGTGTGAGACAAAAAGGACTGACTGATGGGGCCTTTCTTTTTCTTCTTTTTTTTAAGCTAACCTTCCCTGGCAAAAGATATTCTTTGCTTCATGACCAAAAGTGTTGAATGTCTAAGTAATGAAAATAAGCTTAAGGTGCAGTGATTTTAACAAAGGATTATACTAAAAATTCAATACTGGCCGGGACCGGTTTGGCTCAATGGATAGAGCGTCGGCTTGGGGACTGAGGGGTCCCGGGTTCGATTCCGGTCAAGGGCATGTACCTTGGTTGCGGGCATATCCCCAGTAGGGGGTGTGCAAGAGGCAGCTGATCGATGACTCTCTCTCATCGATGTTTCTCTCTCTCTCCCTTCCTCTCTGTATAAAATCAATTAAAAAATTAAAAAAATAATAATAAATAAATAAATAAATAAAGATTCAATACTGGCATTTGCCAAGCACATCACTGTAAGCGTGCCAGAAATGTGTTTAACTGTGAGGAAAAGTGTCACACAGAGAAGCAGCTGTTACTAAGTACATATTCTTCAATTCCTTCGCCTGCTGTGAAGAGTCAGGTAACTAAGAGATAGACAAAAGTAATTTTACAGTTGTGAGTACATAAAACAGTTTATTCTTGTATCATTATTTATTAATGGTTGTATTATTTCCCATGGGAACAACTGTGAACCTACTTTTGCCCATCCCATCTTCATGCCCCCCTACCTCTAGCTACAGCCATACGTGTGAGAATGTGGAGTGGACTGGAAGGGAAACACTCACCCTACACAGTATACATCTGGGGCCTGGATACCATGACTTAGCCAAGGCCGAAGGCATTCTTTGGGGGACTGTCCATTCACATTGTACGTTCCCACAAAAAACCTGCATCAAAGAAAATCAATCGGTCACTTAGGAGGACGATGGAGACAACAAGGGAACACATTTTAAGACATAAGAAAGGTCACATCTAACCTATACCAATGACTGCAGTCTGCTGTGATATCTGTTGCTTGTGTGATAATTTCAAACAGTGCAAGCCTACTCTAAACATTCCTACTTAGCTCTAACAGTCCTTAGAGAACTGTAATCCACAAGATAATTCTTTACCCTGCATAGGCTTCGGAAATGAAAAGTACTTTCAGAAGGAAAGCAACAGCAGTACTCACCATGATTGACTATTTCTATCCACAGAAGCAATGTTACTTTGTCTTATGGTCACAGTGCAATAATTTAAAAAGATCTAGCAGAATCATGCAACCTGATTCATTTAACTTTCAGTAATCCTGTCTAAAAAGATTATCAAGCACTAACTTCAATTTAAATTATTTTCTTCAAAGGCCCAGAACGACCAACGGTAGGTAGGTAAGGGTAGGCTATGTTCCCTTCCCCTGCCCCTCCCCCCTTTAAAAAAAAAAAAGCCATATAGCTCTTCAAATATTTCTGTGACTATTTGCAAGCTGTGTCACTCCCACTGCTCTACACCCACCAGAGTGCCTGGCCCGAAAAGGCACAGAATAAACGCCTGCTTATAAAAAGTGAAAGGAATCACTCAGAAAATGAAGAGATCCGTAGTAGGATTTGCTTTCAAATCCAGGGTACTGGGGGTGGAGGTAAATGCTTAAATTTTAGAGAGTCGAATGATCATTTTTCCTTTGGAAGCAGTCTAAGAGCCAGTCAGCTACCTGAAGTTCTGGATATAGGTATAATCCTCCTCTTTCTGCATCAGATGTGATTTCACCAGTGTTTCTCGTAGCCCAAACTTGTGCATCGACAAAATGTGAGCCTTGTCTGAGACTGTGATAGTGGAAGAGCGAACCATGTCGGTAATTTCCGACTTGGATTTAGTCTGTCTAGAAAAAAAGACAAAAAAATGTGTTACCATATTTTGATGAGTCCTTCATGACATAAATGTAAAGCTAGAAGTTTCCACACACAAGCATCTGAGTCACAGAAGGCAAAAGAGGCTAAAGTAAAAACTTATTTGCTAACACAACACGACTTCTATGTGAAATTAAGTAAACGTATATGTTGTGGATTATATATTATAGTATATTGGTCCAGAGGGTTTCTGAAAACACATTCATAGACTCTCAGACCAGAAGGGGACCTAGAAACATTGTAATCTAACCCTTCATTTTTCAAATGGGGAAAAAATTAGACCCAACATCATTAATGATTCACACACCTGGATGGTGTCAGAGTGCCTCATATAATAAAACTGTGAAATAATCCAGCCTTGGCCAGCGTGGCTCAGTTGGTTGGAGCATCATCCCATGCACCAAAAGGTTGTGGGTTCAACTCCCAGTCAGGGCACAAACCTGGGTTACGGGTTCAATTTGTGTATTTTAAGTCATATTAAAAATTATTCAAATGCCAACTTTAAAATTAAACAAAATTTGACACTTACCTAACAGAATCGTAATAATAGCTCCAGAAACTTTTTGTTGAACATCACTTAATGAATTAAGATCTTGAAGTAATTTCTGACATTAAATAAATGCCACTTAAGTATTAGATATTACTCTTGTCATGTACATACAGGGTGGGGTAAAAGTAGGTTTACAGTTGTGAGTACACATTGTATTGTCATTTATTAATCATTCTATTATTTGCCATATGAACAACTGTAAACCTACTTTTGCCCCACCCCATATTATTAATAACTAAGGCCATGTAAAAATGTATCTGTGTGTACCAAGAAGGCTCAAAGGTGAATGGAGAATGACACACCTGGGTTCACTTAAAGTTCAGGGTCTGATCATTGCAGCTTAAGTGCAAAATTAAAATACTGACACAATAAAGTAGTTTTATATACTATCACAAATATACTTTCACAAATATACTTTAACATAGTTACATATACTCTCACATATACTTTAACATAAAGTATCTTGACAAGGAGACTCTGGCTATGATCAGTAGGGAGCGCTAGAGTACATAGTACTAAATATAACAGCACATCAGAAAAAAAAGAAAGGGGTAAATGAAAATGGGAAAAAGAAGACTCTTCTGAGTCAGCAAACTCCTGAAAGAATGGGAAGACGAAATCAAAATATTTCTAAGTAATCTGCATTTCTAAGATAGATTTAGATGCCTGTTTCAAATCCTAGATCTGCTACTCACTGGTTCTAGATCTTGGGTGAGTTTTATAGCTTCTCTTCTCCCCTGTTTCCTTAGCTGTAAGACAGAAAAATAATAGTACCTCCTTCTCGGGTTAAAATAAGATAACTTGTGTAACTATGTGGCATACACAGTAAGTGCTCTATAACTATCCAACGTTTCTTAGGCCAGCTACCCGGGGACACCTGGCCTCATGCACAGGCATGGTTTCAGTTCTACTATAAAGAAAACCTCAGTCCTAAGAGGTAGCAGTGAAGGGAGAACTGATTACCTTGGAAGCAAGTTATCTGGTTTATCCTGACCCCGGGAGCTTTGGTCCACAAACAGGCCTTTCCCATTTGGCCTCAAACTGTCCAAGTTTGAACCACCTAAGTGGGGGGAGAAAGAATTAAAACATAGTTACATATACTCTCACATATACTTTAACATATAGATCACGGTTTCTCAGATCATACAAGGCATTACTGGTAGTCCACATGTTACCCAAAAACACAGGAAAGGCCTTTGTTGGTGTCTGGGTGGAGCTCCCACAAAGCATATACCAAGAAGAAAAAAAGTATTTCATCCAGCTGTCTCCTGCTGAAAACATAATACTCCTTTTTCTTGGAGACAGCGCACTACAGGATGAATAAAGCTATGGTAGTTGCAAACCTAAGTTCTATCATTAGCTCTTGTTGTCCTTTGACTATTGGCAAGTCATCTAACCTCTCTGAATCTCAGTAACTTGGCCTGTGCTGCCCTCCTCACAGGTTTATTATAGGGATCAAATAATTGACACGTGAGTAAGCATTCTGAAACAACACAACATAATATCCTATCCCAGTGGTCGGCAAACTTATTAGTCAAAAGACCCAAATATCGCCGGGACCGGTTTGGCTCAGTGGATAGAGCGTCGGCCTGCGGACTGAAAGGTCCCGGGTTCGATTCCGGTCAAGGGCATGTACCTGAGTTGCGGGCACATCCCCAGTAGGGGGTGTGCAAGAGGCAGCTGATTGATGATTCTCTCTCATCGATGTTTCTAACTCTCTATCCCCCTCTCTTCCTCTCTGTGAAAAATGAATAAAATATATTAAAAAAAAAAAGACCCAAATATCAACAGTACAACGATTGAAATTTCTTTTGAGAGCTAAATTTTTAAAACTTACAACTTTTTCTAATGCCACTTCTTCAAAATAAACTCACCCAGGCTGTGGTATTTTGTGGAAGAGCCACACTCAAGGGACCAAAGAACCGCATGTTTGCCAACCACGGTCCTTATATAATAAAAGGGTATAATATGCAAATCGACCAAACAGTGGAATAACCGGTTGCTATAAAGTGCACTGGCCACCAGGGGGCAGACGCTCAACACAGGAGTTGCCCCTGACTGGCAGGCTCCCGATCACCAGATGGGGAATGGGGATCTGGGGGTGGATGGCAGCAGGGGGTGGGGCCAGCTGTAGGCAGCCTTGGAAGATAGCCCTGATTGTCAGCCAGGTCTAGGGACCTTATCAGGTTTGAATTTTGTGGGCCGGGCCTCTCGTAAAATATAAGATCTTATTACCACTTACTGTGAGTGACACTTCAATTCCAAGGAGGAAAAAGGCAAGGGTTAGATATCTAAAACTGGAATGGGCCTAAGTACCCTCGAGAATGAGAAGATCTTGTCAGTGTCAACAAATTGCCCTGGAAACCAAAGAGTCCAAGGACTTTGCAACCAAGTAATATTTGCGGAAGTTGTTAAACCAAGATAAAGTTAATAATTAGAAAATTAATCTGCCAATAGCGTCTCTGCTCCTTAAAACCCAGATCTCTTGTCAACAGGAAACAGCATGAAGAGGCCACAGAGAGATGCTGCTTTCGTACACAAGTTTCAAGGGGCACCAGAGGCATGAAACATCACTGAAGAATTTTGCTCTGAAGACTATTACTAAACATGGACTTTCCAACCATACATTCACATGACCCAGAAAAAAAAACAACAAATGAACTTTGGAGTTGAAAAGAAAACACAATAATTTGAAACATGAAAATAATTAATTTCAATGCCTCCAATGAATCAGCTAGACCTTTCAATTTTGCTTCATCAGTGCCTCTCAAATCAATCTATTCCTACCTCCAATGTCACTAAGCCAGTCCAGTTTACCAACTTCTCCCTGAAATGACTTCAAAAACCTCAACAAGGCCCAGCTGGCATGGCTCAGTGACTGAGTTTCAACCTATGAACCAGAAGGGCACAGTTCGATTCCCAGTCAGACATATGCCCGAGTGAAGTCTGTAAGAATAAAGGTAGAAGGAACTGTACTTGAGTATTATACTCTAGTTGATCATGCTGACACCATTATACACGTATACTGGACTTGAACAATTTAGTAAATGGATGGTGGGTGGTGGGAGCTAGGTGTCTCTCTGTTGGAGTGGGACATTCCAGATAAGCAAAGGGAGGAAGCTAGAATGATCCAGGTGGTAATGAATTAGAGCTGGAGATAACAATATGAACTCATGTTACCTAAATATAAATACAGATGGTACATAAAGAAATACTCACAGGTAAGTATGCACACATGTATTTCCCTGCTCTGTCAGCAAGGAGGGCTTATAAGCAAGAACATACCGATAGCAACAACCACACTTTACGCCCACACTTGGCTTCTAATTCATTCTCCAATATAAGGAGCCAGGGTTTCTTGAGATACAGTTATTTTAGGAATGAGGCAAGAAGTATAAAAGATGAGCCTGGAGCATTTTGTAGTACCAGAAAACAAGACCATGCTCAAAAAAACAAGAAAACCCCATGACGTGGGTATGTCAAAGTGACACAGAAGCCAACTGAAAGAGCTCCAATGACCACAGTTCGAACAATTTGAGCAACAAAATTTTTTAAAAAGCAGGATTAGATTATAATTCAAAGTATAAAATAAATAGCCAGCAGTCCACACTGATATAAATAAATAATAGAATAAAAGTGAATAGTCCGGCCAGCGTGGCTCAGTGATTGAGCATTGACCTATGTAAGAACCAGGAGGTCATGATTCAATTTCTGGTCAGGGCACATGCCTGGGTTTTGGGCTCAACCCCTAGTGTGGGCCATGCAGGAGGCAGCCGATCAATGATTCTCTCTGATCATTGATGTTTCTCTCTCCCCCCTTCTCCCTCCCTCTCTGAAATCAATATAAATAAATAAATAGATAGATAGATAAATAAATAAATAAATAAATAAATAAATAAATAAATAAAGGAGAAAAGACAAATCTTCTATGAAGAATTCCAAATAATTTAGGCAAATATTCTGCATTCAGGGAGGTGAAGCACAATTGCCCACTCCTTAAGTATGGGCTGCACATGGTGACATCCTTCCGAAGAGGACAGTAGGAAAAGCGAGTGGGGGGGAGGAAGACCAACAACCTGGAGAAGCCTGACCAACATGACCTCAGCCAGGAAATCAAGATTCATATCAACAGTGACAAGTCATGTTGATAGCACACCCTTAATATGACGTCATGAGAATGATAATGATTCCCATTGTCTTCCTCCCCAAACCTATAATCCCAGTCTAATCATGAGAAAAATACCAGACAAACCCAAATTGAGGGTCATTCTACAAACTACCTGACCAGCACTCCTCAAAACTGTCATGGTCACCAAAATCAAAATCCCTGCAGCCTAGAAAAGCCGAAGGAGACATGAAGACTAGATATAATGTGGTAACCTAGGTGGGGCCCTAGAACAGAAAAAGGACATAATGTAAACACAAAGGAAATGTGAACAAAATACGAATTTCGGTTAATAATAATGTATCAATATTGGTTCATTATGAAAAATGTGTCATCACTAATATCAGATGGGGAAACTTGAGGGTGGGACATACATGGTTCTCTTTGTACTATCCTCACAATTTTTCTGAAAACCTAAAACAATACTAAAATAACATTTTTTTTTTTTTTAAGGCAGACTGGGGACTGAACTCAAAACTCCTTGAAAGGCTTATCTAGTCTCTGCCTCACCTCCCAGGCTCTTCTTAACCCTCTGCAGTGGGGCCTCTGTTCCCCATTACAATAAGTCCTTACTTCATGTCATCAATAGGGTCTTTGAAAATGTGCCTTTAAGCAAAATGATATATAAGAAACCAATTTTATCCTCTGCTAATCAATTGAAGAGTTAAGTTCCTACAGCATATTTCTGGTCACAAAAATATCACCAACCCTCTAAATAAAGACCTGGCAGCTCAAGGCACAGCGTAGGAACCCACCCTGGCCATTCCAGGGCCATTCGCTGCCATCCCCGCACTCACTCAGACAGGGGCGATTTATTTATTTTTATTTTTTGTTAATCCTCACCCAAGGATATTTTTCCATTGATTTTTTAGGGAGAGTGGAAGAGAGAGGGAGAGACAGAGAGAAACCTCGATGTGAGAGAAACACATCGATTGGTTGCATCCTGTACAAGCCCTGACCAGGGCCTGGGCTGAGAAGGAGCCTGCAATCAAACTACAGGCCCCTCACCAGAATCAAACCTGGCCTCCATGCCTCTCAGCCACACCTCTATGCTAAATGGCAACTCGGCCTGATTCTGCCAAGCTTCCATTTTGCTGTTCCTGGAGCATGTCAAGCTCATTCCCAGCTCAGGGACTTGGCTCTTGCTAATCCCTCTGCTTGGAATGCTTTTTCTCCGGAACCCCACGCTGCTTACTCTGTTTCATTCAGGCCCTTGTTCAGAAGCTCTCTTCGACACCCAATCTAAGCAGGCCCCACTCTCCACATCACTCTAGCCCCTTATTCCAGAGCTTTCCCGGTTCACAGTACCCTTACTGTCTCAGTAATTTTTTTCAAATCGCCTCCCGGCCAAAAGAAATACCTAAGCCTTCTGTGTAAATAGTGAAGGACCAAATAAATTACTAAGTATTTAAGCCCTAATCACTTAGTAGCAATTTGAAAAAATAACACACATATTTAGAAAGATTAATGTTTCTGTTTCATTTTCAGTGGCCACAATTACGTACAAATGAGATGCGTGTACCTTTTGAGTTTTGCACAACTTCTCAAACGTTGGGACCAGACTGAACGCCACACCCACAACATTCCACATTTTTAACCACAGCAGCCACCAAAAAGCCACCTTCAAGAGATATGATGTCATCACTCTGGCCGGTATTGCCCGGTGGTTAGAGCGCCAGCCCGAGCACCAAATAGTCGTGGGTTCAATTCTTTGTCAAAGGCATCTACCTGGGGTGCAAGTTCGATACCTGGCCTGGGGCGCATGCGGGACACAAGCAATCGATGTCACATCTATATTTATCTCTCGCTCCCCACCCCTTTCCTGTCTCCCTTCCACTCTAAAAAAATCAATGGAAAAAATATCCTGGGGTGAGGATTAACAACCACCACCACCA